TATTTTTTTTCATGTTTCTTTATTCAATTATTTCCGATGATCTGCAAGTGTCCTTATATTTATGACCAGGAAGTGTACCAATACTACATTTCTCTACCCTATTTGTGGGTCGCGACCCCATATCCCTGAGTTAAACCTTACGAGGAAGGTTTAGATGAAGTAAACTTCCGATAGATAATCGAGTGAGATAATCTTTCGGATGTTGATATTTGAATCTCCGAGGTTCAATCCGAGAGTGTAAAGTTATGACTCCACGTCTATTACTTATCATTTTTAAAATTTTCAATGTCGATCATTAAAAATTTGATAAGCTTGACTTTGTACTCATTACTAAATTAAAAAATTAAAATAAATAAAATAAAAATTATTCATTAATAATAATTAAATGGCTTCTACATCTTCATTTAGAGGTCAACAACAAGTTTCTTCTTCGTATGGAGGCGGACCACCACCATTACCACCGTCAAGGAATCAAAGACTATACGGTAAACCATTACCACATCAACTTCCTCAATCATCTTATGAAAGAAGACCATCATCTTTATCACATAGTAGTAGCACTTCCTCTTTATACAGTCCGTACTCTCGACCAAATAACAATGACCATAACAATAATAACAAGAATGCACCATCTCGATCACCGTCACCAATACCTTCTTCATATAACAATAATTCATCATATTCAAGAAATGGAAATTATCACCACCATCATAATTATTATCAACAACAATCACATCACGACCATCATCACAACAATAACTATCTTTATAATCATCGTTCACTCTCTTCTTCTTCCTCCTCCTCCTCTTCCTCCACCTACCATGGATCTTCTTCATATCCACCACAACAACAACAATTACAATCAACATTACAACACGGTAGCACATCTTCTACTAGTAATTCTTTAAATGTCAACCAATCTCCACAAAAAACTTTATTTGAACAACACACAAAGCCTATTCAAATTCCTGTTTATGCTCCAACATATGAAGAAACCGTAATAAATTTATTATTATTTTAATTAATTAATTAATCAACTGTTACAATCGTTACATTAATTGTTACTTATTAATTGCTTCATTTTGATACATCTATTTATTTAAGTGGGCGGATTGTAAGATCGAAGGACAACGGTTAAGAGAGGCAGAGGCCAAATTAACAGAAAGTGTTAGAAAATCGCAAATAGATCTTGATAAAGTAAATTGGGAATTGGAGAAAGTCATTCATCAAACTGCTTTGGCAACTAGACAAATAGAATTACTTTTTGCTAATAGTCAAGAAGAAATTGAAGCTTTAAATAAATTAGCAGAAAAAGAAACAGAGGAAAATCAACTAGCTTTGATTAATAATAGTAATTTTTAAAAAATCCCGATTTTTTTTTTATCAAAAATAAAAAAAAATTTCATGAAAATTGGAATATATATATTTACATATATCACATATATTAAAATAACATTTTTTATCATCACTATAGTCATCATATATTATTTATTTTCCTTAAAATTTTATTTTTCAATATATGAAATATCTTTGGAAAAATATTTTTATAAACATGACTTGTATATAATATCTCAATATTTCAGTTTACAATCAGCATATGCACTTACATTATTATAATTGTGATCAACACCACTATCCAGAGGATCCTACTAGAATTATTACAATAAAAGATACTTTAGTAAGGGCAGGTTGATTGTTGTAGGAAAAAGAAAAATTAAGTAATTTAAAACAAAAAAAAAACAATTTACAAATCTAATCAATCAATCAAATTCATTCACTCAATAATGATTGATTGATTGACATATATATATGAATTGTAAGTAAAATATCCTTTAAAAAAAATCAATTTATTTTATTTCAACATTAATTAAACAATTGCTTTATTTTTAATATATATTAGAAGTGGATATGAAAAATTCAAGATTAGCAAAAAATTATTTTCATCAATTAGATAGAAAAATAAGAAATTATCTTATTTTTATTTTACAAATTATAAAAAAAAAATTAAAAATATCAGATCAAATATATATATTATATATTATGTTATTTATGTTGAAAGAATATCAATGAGTGAAAAAAAGGTATTTTATTATTATTATTATTTATTTATTTGTTTTGAGAAATTTTTTCATAAAATGAATTTTAGGACCAAAGTTAGAAGAGAGAATTGAGAGAATTGATTATTTGGTTCAGATTGATTGATCAAATTCCCTTGTTGAATAGTATATTAGGAAAAAAAGAGTGAATTTTTAATCCATTAATTAATTATGTTTCCTGAAACCTGAAATTTTTAACAATATTTTACTATGTATTTATTAAAAAATTTCACCATTTATAAATAAAAACCCAAATTATTCTTATTAACATTTGCATTATCTTTTCATTTTTCTAAATTCGTCATTTCAATGATCCTTCATATCATAACTGAGTTAAAAGGTGTTATTTATTATTTCAAAATTGCTAAATGTCATCATTTGTTCAGTATCTTTAGCGGTGGTTGGCTTCTTTAAATAATGATGATAGCAGCGAGTTTTCATCGTCAGACCACATGCAAACTATCATATGAAGGGTTTAATTTTCTCCCATAAATGACGAATCTTGACAAAGTCAAGGAGTCTATGACTCATATATTCAGTGATTAGTGCTTACGGTTCTAATATACCTACTTTACGGAGAAAGGATCTGAGAAATGGTCATGGTAATGTAATCACTAATCATGTAATTTTTTCCACCTAGCAGGTTTTTAGATTTAGCGGATGAACATATATATAAATAATTGGATTTGTGAGGTGGGTTAGCAACTATATTACTTTTATATTTTTGTTGAAAAAAAAAGTCTACAATGGAAGGAGAACTTTCAATTAAAATTGATAAATAAATTCTCCTATTGGCTTTATTAATTGCACAGGATACACTTTCAAAAAAAATACGATTAAACAATGATACTTTTATATAGTGGAACTAGATGACATTTACCTTGCTGTTCATGATAAAAAAGGAAAAAGGAAAATCCCACTAGATGGTAAGTTGTACGATTTCTCTGATTGTTTCAGAAGGAAGCAATTTTTGTTTTTCATATATGCCTCATTTCTCATTTTCACTGCTCTGTATATTATAGGTCAATTCAAAAAAAGAAAATGGTTCGTATCTAATGGTCTATAGTGATAGAGTCAATATTGATAATATCATTGAAAACTCGGGATGTCCAGAGCAATATATAGTAGGAGGGTTATGATTACAATTGGTATTCAATCTGGGATCTTTCCAAGAAGATGCAAGTGGTGCCAGTATTAGATGACAATAATGTACAGTATATATGTTTTTAAATGTCTTTACAATATATATATTCTGGAGAAATTATTTCTTGTATGTTGCGGCATTGTCTCATGAAATGAGGATGCTTTTGCATCTAAGCTACGAGAGTTAATTATCAAGTCATATGTCGAATTAATGCCTGATGTCACATGAAAATGTATGAGATATTCTGTAAGCAACTCATGTTAATTATCTGAAAACACATTAACGATCAAAATATAGTAAATCATGCAGAGAATGTCCATTTCATGGATTCTTTATAGGTTTTACTTTTCACTACTTAAGTTTCAATAATACTTTCGCGAATTTTCGTCATCAGAGTAATTACATTCACATCACTTGCCTCATTATCTTCAGAGAAATCCGAATTAAAACTTGAAGAATTGCCAAGAAACAGTCACAGAATGGCTAGAGATAAGAGAGGAGATGTGGTTGAGACATTTACCTCAATTTCTGCTGAACCTGCATAAATCATTATTCAATCAAATCTAGATTCTTCAAACTTTGCAGAATGCTTTGTTCTGGTAAATTTTTCGAGTCAGGCTTGGAGACTTGAGATTTGATTGGAATATTTATCCGAGTTTCTGATGGAACATAAGCTTTGGATAGGCATACTTACAATTACTTTCAAAGTACCATGATTCTGATCGTAAAAATTGTTCACGGTTTTCAAAGTCACTTGATCTACAATATACTGGATTTGAAGATTAATAAGTCTTGAATAGTATCCATGCTATATATCAGGAAAATAAATCTTACGTAAACCTACATAGGGTTCAGAATTGGCCAGCATTATGTCGATATTTTGGTAATTCTGTTAACATTTCCGCATAATGCTGATCATTTTTAAACCCTGCGTAGGTTTACATGAGATTTATTTTCCTGATGTCTATGGTGCCTAAATAACATTAACGCAAATCTCGAAGGCTGATCGGTGAATTTTTCCAGTTTAGGTAATGGTTTACGAAGACTAGCCCCTATTACTATTACTATAGTGATGCTTTTTTCAGTTTGAGTTTCCTTTTTTTGGATTTAAATTTAATTCACTATTAACAAACTGTATCAATATAGATAGGTCACTGTAGCAGCCGGTCAAATCTTATTATTTTGTGAAATACCAAATTTAGGAAGATGTTTCTAATCAACTACAGTCAAGCCTTGTTTCAACGAATTATATATATATATATCGTGTTACAACAACAACGAATTTTTTTGGTAGGATTTTTGTATAATAATAAGTATTAATCGCGTTACAACGAATTCACGTGATAGGCAGTATCCAAATTAAAAAATAATAGTTTTATATCGTTAAATACTAATTAATCAAACAAAATAAAATTCACTTTACTAAATAATGAGAAGACTGGTATTCTTCCATTGTCAGACAATGTAGAGTAGAGATTGAGGATGTGACTAAATTTAGAAAGTGATCTTGAAAATTTAACAAATAAATTTTTCTTTCAGTTCACCATTGACTGCAAAGGAATATATATCGATTGATGATAAGTTAACTAATAGTGAAATGGTAACTGAGGAAGAGATTATTAATTATCTTACACAAGTTGAACATGATACAAATATTTCCAATATTACAATAAAGGATGCAGCCAATGCTTTTGAAACTGCTTATGATTTTCTTGAACAACAATTTAGAAATAGATTATAATGAATTAAAAGCTTTTAAATCATTAAAGAGAAAAGTAACATTATATAATGTTAAAAATCATTATTTTTTTTCACCACACGCGTCGATCATTAATGAAATAGTTAAAATTTTGTTTTAATGACCATCCCATAGATTCGTTGACTGTACGCGTTTTTGTCGATCAAATAACAAATTTTCTTTTTCATTTATATTTATTTAATTAAATTTAAAAATTAAAAAAATGCCTAAAGAGAAATTAAAACGAAAACCACAAAAAGAAACAAAGGATTCGTATGGATAAGTATTGTTTATCGTAAGAATGTTGGTGGCAGTTATCGCCACCACTCGTCACTCTAGCTATTTTGAAAAATTGGCATCATGGTACAAAAAGTTCAGCGACTAAGTGACTTGCATTATAGTATACTGCTTTTTCGTGTTTATTTCATTAACTTGTGCTTCAATAACCATTAGAGCTCCACCCAAAAAGGAAGGCCGCAGAAGAAAGAAAGAATATAAAAAAAGTCAAGAGATTAAGACGCTTTGGTGTCTTATATATGGAGATCCTCTCACATCTGTCTTCCCAATTGATATTGACACTAATAATGTCCATTGGACATTTAAAAGAAGTCATTGAAAAAAAAGTTAACATTTCTGATGACATAAAAGCCAAAGATATCACACTGTGGAAAATAAATGTTCCATATGATGAAAATACAGAAGAGATAAACATATACTTAAAAACAATGAGAAAATATGTGTTAAAAAACTATCTCCTATGAAAAAAATTGATGATACCTTTGTTGACATTCCGGATAATCATATTGAAGTACCTACTATCAGTAGTGGGTTGTAATGAAATTAGTTATTGATGATTGTTCCATCAAACATACATTGTTTTCCTTTTTATAACTAACATTTTAATACTTTCTGCTCCTCTAGTCAACTAAACTTCTTTCCTCTCCGAAGCCATCACAAAGATTGATAAAATATATCAGAATCTAATAAGACCTATTACATGCTCAAAAATCGGTAGAAAGAACTTTGATGAATTTCTCAACTACAGTGAACCCTCTATAAGTGCACCCCCCTCGGGAACATAGTGCTATTTCTTGTGAGCGTGCATTTATGGAGGGTG